GGACGAGCCCCGATCGCGGATCGTCCTCGGCCCGCCCGGAGAGGACAGCCCGCCATGCAGGAGCCCCTGCTGGGAGCCGAGCGCCCGGACTATGACACCTTCCCTGAGAGCACGCCCACGTCACCGGGAGAGAGGGCGCAGATCGGGTGAGAATCTCCAGGCTTGCGAACTGCGGGTGGGGGCTGGGCATGGCCTTGGTTCCCTCCAGCCCGTGGCTGGGTCCTGCCCCAGGCCTCTTCTGAGTCAGTGAGTGGCCCCGGGAGCTGATCTTCCTCAGGGAAGGGGCCACCCAAGGGAGTGGGGCCCAGCTCTCAACTGGCCCAAACAGGGAGGCAGGGCCCAGAGCCGCTTAGCTGAGATGACACAGCACGCCATGGGCAGGAGAGCTGGGGGCAGAGCACAAGCTGGCCTGCAGAGAAGGGTGCCACACCAGTGTCTCAGCCACAGACACCGGCACACCCGGGAAGATGGGGTGGGCTGGTGCCCAGGCGGCGGGGAGGTGCCAGTCTGACTGGCCCTGGACCCAGGTCTGCATGGTGTTGTCCCTGAGCTGGGGTGTCACTGGGCCCAGGGAGGGCAGTGATTTGGGAAGGGGAGACTGAAAGGCCCTGGTCCTTTTGCCCCCATCACTAGGGCCCCGCAGAACAGGAGGGTGTTCCTGGCCACCTTCGCTGCCGTGCTGGGCAATTTCAGCTTCGGGTATGCCTTGGTCTACACGTCCCCAGTCATCCCCGTGCTGGAGCGCTCCTCGGACCCCAGCTTGCATCTGACCAAAACCCAGGCATCCTGGTTTGGGGTGAGGACCATGCTCAGAACTGGGAGGGCCTGGGCAAGAGGAGCAGGGACCCACTGAGCTTTGCCCCCAGTCGGGGACCCCCAGAAGCTCAGCCTTGTGAACCTCTCGGGAACCTGGCCCACCCGCTCCCCGCCCATTCTGGCTGCAGCCACGTGGGGTGTGGGGTGAGGCCGGATGATTATTCGGAAATGAGGAAGTATAGAGTCAGCACGAAGGAGTGGGGAGGAGTGGGGGGGGGGTCCCCTGAAGGTCGCCACAGCTGGGCTGCCACGGTCAAACCCACACCTTCCGGATGGATGGGGCAGGTGTCGACAGGAAGAGGCACTGGCTGGAGCAAGGAGACCCAGAACTGACTGTGGGTACTGGGGAGAAGGCCCCAGAGCCCCAGGGTTCTAGACTCGTAGTCTTTTTTCTTTTTCTTTTTCTTTTTTTTTTTTTTTTTTTTTTTTTGGGGT